GTCATCTAATCCAAACCCTTAATTTTGCAGATGAAAAAACAGAATCACAGAGGAATTCATCGATTTGCCCAAGATCATACAAGTATGAAAAGCCCCCCTTAGCACAATATCTGGCTCCTAATAAATGCCTGTGTACTTTCTTCTCTTTGACAGAGGAACCACCACTCTTACTCAAAGTCCCTGGAACCTATCAATTCTTTGATTTAGGGTTAGATGCTTTCTTTTTCTAAAATTCTAAATTTCTGAATTTTTTCTACATATTTTTCATGTCAAATGACTAATTGTCAGGCTGTGTTTCATCAGATCATTTGGGAGACTCCACCCAATGAAACTACAAAGAAGTTGTATGGAACTAAAGTTATAAGACTCCCTTTTGCCCCATAAATTAACCTAGAGAGAAGGACAAAAGAGTTAGATCAAGCCACCCAGACACAGTAGTATAACTTTTTCCAAATTTTTCCATACATATCTAACAATTTCAGTACCTTCTTAGGATCCCAACCAATGTATGTCATTTTTTTTTCCTTTATAAAGACCTTTGGGAGGCAAAACACATGAAGCTAAAATTTGCTACTAAGAAATTAATAGGTTCTTTCTCAGTTTGGTGTCCAAATGGTATAATTAGGTGAAAGCAAAACCCTGGGAGAATGGAACAAAAGTTGGGGTAGTTTGGACTGGGCATTACAGTGAGAGGAGAAATGGAGTGACAGGTCTAGAACACAAGATGAATTCTAGGGAAGACAGGACCAAATGTCAAACTACAGGACAGACAGAAGACATCAGGTGATATTATCTGAAGGGGGAAGATAATTGCTATAAACTGAGAACGATATTTAAAGAGGAGAGATCTGTGCCTGGTCAAGAAGGAGAGGAAAGGATATAGGGAAAGGAAGACTATAGAAAAGCAACTTCAATTAACCAATATATTAAACACTAATCACGAACAAGGCATTGTGGCTCCTGCCCTCATTCATTGCCTTGAATTGTTAAGTTAAATGAGCCTGCGAAGTGACAGTACCATTTAGATTATAAGTTACAAAGAAGCTGTTGTTCTACATTTGGAGGAGGGAATTTCCTCACCTGGAAGTTCCCTATACTGATGAAATCACAGATCTGGTCTCTCTCTGTTTGTTAAAAGTTTTTTTTCAATAAAAACAGACACAGCATTTAAAACCTGGAAGGTGCCTTACAGGCCATCTTGTCCAACTCCATGTTTTATAGGCAATATGGACTGTAGGAGATCTAAGGAGAGAGATATCACTTCTGGCTGGAGCAACCCAGGACAGGTCTGAGAATCAATAAGACTTCAATAGAGAAATAAGAGAGGGGAAGACCTTGTGAACAGGAAACAAAACATAAACAAAGATCTGCTGCATAATTTTGCCTCAGGTTGGCCCTGATGCTCTATTATTTCTCTGTCCAGGTGCCATGTTAGTAATATACTTAGCAACACCCTCCCTGAAGGCCAGATCAGAAGCCCAGCCTCCAGACACCAAATTACAGAATCAGAAATTCCAGGCTTTGGGAAAGTTAGCACATTTGTCGAGCTACGTTTAAATAATCAGCCAACTTCCTAACTCACAGTCACCTAACTATTGCTAACCACTGTAGTCACAAAGGAGAAAGAGTTCCCTAAGGCCCAACTTTACTAAATTTCTACATTTATTTGCAAAGTGGGTGGAGTGCTGGCCTTGCAGTTACAAAGAAATGTTCAAATCCTGCCCCAGACATCTAGATGTGATGGGCTGGGCAAGTGACTTAACCTCTCTCTCACTCTTAGTTTCTTCATTTATAAAAATGGAATAATAATCTCCATAGGATTTGCCTCACAGAGTGGTTCATAAGGATCAAATTAGATAATCATTGTGAAGTGCTTTACAAATCTTAAAACTCTCTATAAATGTTAATATTAACTATAATTAATATCTGTTGCTGATGATGTTCAGCCATCTTTCAGTCATATCTGACTCTCCTTGACATCATTTGGGGATTTGTTGGCAAAGATACTGGAATCGTTTGCCATTTCCTTCTCCTTTACAGATAAGGAAACTGAGGCAAACACGGTTCAGTGACTTGCCCAAGGTCCTATAGCTAGTTAATGTCTAAGGCCAGATTCAAACTCGGGAATATAAATCTTCCTTACTCCAAGCCTGATACTCTATCCACATAGGCAGCATGATAGAGGGCTGCCCTCAAGCCATGGAAATGTGGGTTCAAGTCCTGCCATGTAACTCTAAGTGCTCCAGACACTACTCCAAGACTAGAAGTTGCAGAGAAGGTGGGAGTTTCCTCACCAGGAGCTCCCTAGACCAATGAAATCATAAATCCAATTGCTGGTCTTATACTTATATTTGTTAAATTTATCGATTATGTTCTTTTTAACTATGTACAGGCATGTATTGGGCTATCTGAACCTAGAAAAACACCATACCATTTAGACAGAAAAGGTGCCAACCTGCACTGGCAGAGGGAGTTTCCTCACCTGGAATTCCCCTATACCAATGAAACTAAACCAGTGTACTAGATCACAAGTACATTTATTAAAAGATTTTTTTCAAAAAATGATAGCATACAGTATGTTAAGGCAGGAAGCAGACTCTCATTCTACAGATTAATCAGGAGGCATTTATTAAGCGCTTATTATGTACCAAGCATTAGCAATAAAAAGATAAAATGGAAGGATACAAAATAGTCTACAGAATGTAGGAGCCTATATTCTACTGGTAGAAACATGCATATAAATAAGTGTATCCCCAAAAGAAAAACTATTCGCAAGATAATTTTGAGAATGAGGTACTAAAAGGAAAAGCTCCACGAAGAAGGTGCCATTTGAGCAGATCCTAAGGATTCTAGGAAGTGAATCCACAAAAGTTAGTGACTTAGCAGAATGTGATTACTGCACTTGTTCGGACAATGAGAGCACAGATTATGGCAGGTTCTGGAGAATATGTTAATGTTCACTGGGACATCTGTAAAGAAAACATCCAAATCTCCAATGGTTTGAAGAAAAATCAGATTTTAATTGCTAAATTGTGAAGAAAACACACACAGTGCTACCCAAAGGAACATGTGAGACCACAAACTCCACTTTGCTCTGTGCATAGACCTCTCATGACAATGAGGAGCCAGGAAAGAGTGGAATTTCTCCTGTTTCAAAGAAAAACTTCTTGAAGCAAAAGGATGGGTGTGCTCGCTCATCCTTGGACACAAAGGGTTAAATGTTTTCCACACTTAGAGATGATACTAAGAAGGATCACTTTACCCTGAGAGGCAAAAACGATGACTTACATGTAGGTCCCTAGACAGCTAGGCTAATTAGAAACAGTGTTGCTATATGCTCAAGGACGAGACTGGTGGGCATGAGGGCGTGGAGAGCAACATCCCAGGTGTACATAGTAACATTTCAATACAGAAGTGTTCCTGACAAAAGAAAACATCTGAGAGTGAGAGTCAGTTTAAAAAATGACTAGATACCTTTTGGGATGCTGTGCAGCCTAATTCATGAGTAAAAAAAAAACTAACAGAAGCTCATGCTTGAATTCCTAGTAAAGAAAATAATGGAAATTTTTTTCAACAAAATTCTTAAGGTAAATTTCCACTTTTTTTCTGAAAATGCATTTTCATTGCAGTTCCCTTGGTCCCATGATCATCCATGACAGTGGGCCTTGCTGCATTAGAAATTGATGAACATTGAAAATCTTGAAGCCCCTTTCCCATTTCTCATGTTCAGATGAAGAAAAGCTTCTCAAACTTGTCCACAAGAAACCAGTAAATGGGCACATTTTTCTCTTGGAATTGTAAGGGTTAAGCTGAGGATTAAACCTGAAAGCTAAGTATAGTTCCACCAAGTTTTTTTTCCCCTCAAACTTTCTTTTCTAGCTGAAATAATATCCAATTACATTTCATTAGATTACTACAGTCACAAGTCTAAATCAAAATTTTTTTAACTTCTTTCACCTAGCAAAATAAATATCATCCCCTTCCAGCAATTCCCTTAAATGGCTCAAAGATGTTGGAGTGCAGTAGAAAGAGTTCAGACTCTGGAATCAGAGGACTGACTCCTCCTCTGACACTATCTGCATGACCTTGGACAAGTCATGTAATTTCCCTGTACCTCAGTTTTCTCATCTGTAAAAAGCAGGGAATGCAGGAAGCTGGCTGACCTTGTACTGTCTAAAGGGAGACTAAAGGATACAGGTCCCAGAGATTAATGCCCCAGAAACAGCATCTAAAGTATGAATCCTCACAAACTTGGTGTTTGTATTTGTTTGTAGCCTAGTGAACTGATGCAACACATGGTTTCCATATGTTACTGGATGAAATTATAGAAATTCACCTAAAGGAGCCAGTAACTCCTGGCACTATCCTTGTTAACCATACTTACTCACCTGGTCCACCCAAGTGCATGTGTTTGTATACAAGTGCATGTGTTTGTATATAAGTCCCTGTGTAAAACCCTTGTGTGTACATTTAAGACCTCAATTTAAAGTCTGAAAACAGTTTTCAGATTTTGGTTTTGTTTTTTAATAATCCAAGGATGAAGTATATCTTCATATTGTTTGAAAACTCTAGTCAAAGAACACACTAAGAAACACACAGTAAGTTCAGAGTAATTTATGAAACAGACATAACTTATTTTCCCCAGTTCTCATGCTGATTCCTTCCAGCTTAGACTTCAAGAGATGGGAAAAGAGGACAGATGAAGGGTAATAGATATAGTCTTAATTTTTAAAAGATGCTTAAAATGTGGCTATTTTATTTTAACACTAGCTAAGTGTTCTTTCTCTCTTGATGTCTAGAATAAGTTTTTTGGTTATTTGTGAGGAAACAATAGCACTTACATAAATTCCTTAAGGGAAATGGATGCCAATGGCTGTGTAGGAGAGAAAAAGCAAATTGTCATTGTCAGAATTAATAGTGCTGAAATCCTTTCAAAAATCATCCCATGGACAGTCTTTGATTCCAGGAAGAAGCAAAAACCAAAAAGTCACAATCTCCAGGTCTTTCTCATGATAAGAATGAAGTAGGCATCACTGTCAATGGAAGCACTAACCCCAGCATAATAGTCCAAAAAGTCCTCTTGGGAAACCTGCATATGGAAGGGAAGAAAAAAGGGGTGAGGGGAACAAAGTCGGGGAATGGTGCCACCAAAGAGCATTCTGGGTTAAAGGTAAGTTGGAGTTGCTACTGGGATACTGGTCTAACCTACCTAACCCAAAAGCAGAATCCAGATGGTGTGCATGAACAGGACAATGAAGAAATAAATAAATCTTCACACCATGCAAGGAGTATCTACAAATCTGTATTAGAGCCATGTTGGTTAAAACACTGTTTCTGAGAAATACTTATTAAAGTGCACACGAGTAAACTTGGACGTGTGACACTTTAATCCATTCACACCTGCTAATATTTGAGCTTGCAGAGAGCAGAGCCTTTAGAGATAGAGGCCTATACTGGGGGGAGGCACCCAGATGGGATCCGAACACTGGTGTGGCCCAGGTAGGGAAGGCTCACTGGGGCACTGAAATGGGAACTCCCTGACCAGCCAAGGGTAACAGGAGGAAACAATAACCGGTGACATAAAGTGCTGAGAAGGAAAGGGCCACCTAAAAGGGAGACAGTAGACTGCTAGAAAACTAGCTGTTCTGACTTCACAATCTGACTGGCAGAGCCTGAACAGCCTGTTTGGCTATTGGAGAGGAAAAGAGCAGATGCTGCCTATGGATTAACTTGTACCATCCAGGAGCAGCTAGGTGGTACAGTGGATAGAGTACGGGCCCTGAAGTCAGAAGGACCTGAGTTCAAATTCGGCCTCGGACACTTGACACTTACTAGCTGTGTGACCCTGGGCAAGTCACTTAACCCCAGTGCCTAGCAAATAAATAAATAAATGAAAATAACTTGCACCATCCAGAACAGGACATGAAGTTGAAGGAATGAGGGATCTCTGAGCTCTGCTCCTCTTCCCACCTTAACCCCACCACCTTAGCAACAGACTGTCACTAATCCTCAGAAGTCCTAAAAGCTCCATGCAGTGGCTTCCTGGGAACTTTCTTGGCTTACTGAATGGAAGCCATCCAGCCTTATGGGGAAATGAATATTACATCAAATTTTCAAAACTATTATTCTTAGTTGGAGTGGGGGGAGGTGGGGAGGAGTTATCAAATTTAAAAAGCATAATGAGAGAATTCAATTTAAATACAACTTTCTCCACATAAATGAATGAAATAACACCTAGTAATTCAATTACCATTGAAACAACATGCTAATCCTGATGCAGAATTAGCAAAGCCATTATCAGGAAAAGAAATGACATTCTGAAGAGCACTATTATACAACAAATACATTAGCAAATAAGGGGAAGCTTATCTGAGAACTAAGCTAAAAACTGAAACTACAAAAATAAAGAAACTGTCACATCAGCAGAAATTGCCAAAGGTGTATCTACTCCTAGCTAGTACAACTATGTGAACCTTTTAGATGTTTCAAAGTCCTTCAGTAGAAGAAACATGCCAGCATCAGAGTGCTATGGCAAAGCACAAATGAACAATATGAACACAAAATGTCAGGCGGTATTATAAATGAAGCCCATTCATTTGTTCAACATATGTTTACTGACTGCTTATTAAGTACAGAATGCCTTACTTAGTTCTGAGCTGTAACAATAAATAAAACAATTTATTTAGTTCCCAAGAACCAGATTAAAATGTAATTGGGAAATACTTAATAAAACAAAACTAAAACAAAGATAATGCTAATTTGCAGTTTGCTAAGTCAGTAAAGGTCAGTTAGGTGGCACTGGGCTTGGAACCAGAAAGACTCATCTTTATGAGTCCAAATCTAGCCTCAGACACTTACTATCTGTGTGAACCTGGGCAAGGCACTCAACCCTGTTTGCCTCAATTTGCACAACTGTAAAATGAGCTAGAGAAGAAAATGGCAAACCACTGCAGTATCTTTGCCAAGAAAACCCCAAATGCAGTCACAGAGAGACTGAACAACAATAAAAAGTCAATATACCTCCATCAGGGATCTATTTCTACTTGACACTACTTCTCTAGGCAACTCTTGAAGACTTGAAGGTGCCAACTTGCATTTGTTGGAAAGAATTTCCTGGCCAGGAGTTCCCTACAAATCAATGATCAATGATTACTAATATTTGTGAAGTGCTTAGCACAGGGCCTGACACATAGTAGGTGCTATATAAATATTTCTTCCCTTCACTTCTCCCCACCCCCACCAATTAAATCACCAATTGCTATTCCCTACATTTATATTTATTATGCTTATAGATTATATTCTATTTAACTATGTATGAATATGAATCAGGCTATCGGTCTAAGAAGCTCCAAGATGATTCCAGCGAAATGCTACTAAATGCTACAGGTATACTTTATGAGGACATCTAAAGGACATTTAATGGCAGGCACACACATTTTATATGCACTTACAAAAATGCTTTACATTATAATCTCATTTGGTTCTTCACAACTGTCAGTAAAGTTGGTGCTATTATTATCCCAATTTCATATGGAACCTCAGAGAGTTTAAGTCATATCTAATAAGTAGCTGAGGTGATATGTGTTTGTATAGCATTTCCATGTGCATATACTCTGAAATCTCTTACACAGTAGTCTTCCCCCTGGGATTCATCCCTGTCCTCCTCAGCCACTGTCCTCCTCTGCCTGTCCCTTCACTGTACCCACTAGAATCCCTAGTCCATTACTAACCCTTCCCTTTAAGCTTTATCTTTTCCCCCTCCTGGGGAACACTCCATCATCTGCTCACACTAACTGAAACCTGAAGAGTGCATGCCTTGCTACCCTCACCAAGGCTGGAGATTACAGAATTGTCCCACACATTTCTAGCAGGTAAAATCGGTTAGATTTCATGACTTTTTTCTAGCAGTATTTAGCAGCCCAGGAGTAGGAGAGGAGAAATTGGCTGACGGGAGTTCTGAGAAATGAGAATTAATTAACTGAGAATTGTATGGGGCTAAATCTTTCTAGGATGATGACTAGTGAAGTCTACTATTGACTACTATTTAAGTAATAGACTGTGGAGTTAAAGGTGTGTGGGAAGCAAAGTGAAGATAAAATGAGGGAGGTAAATTGGAAGAAGTAGGATTGATCCAAGGACCAGAGGTCATAATGAAATCAAAGCCTAAACTTAGAGGGAATGAGAGTAGGAGAGGTCAAAGCAGGGGTAAGGAACCTGTGGCCTCGAGGCCACATGTGGCCCTTTAGGTCCTCAAGTGTAGCCCGTTAGGTCTTCAAATGTGGCCCCTTGACTGAATCCGAACTTCACAAAACAAATCCCCTCAATAAAAGGTTTTTCACACAGTGCAATATACTGTACCTTTCTAGTAGACATGAGGGAGGGCTGCTTCAAAAACCTGAATCCATAATGATGTTTATTCCCACTCTCACTGGGTTGTGCTGTGGTCTGAAAGAAGCCTCCCACTCTACTTGGAGGATGGAAGAGAGCTGAATGAAGCAGGTGCATAAAGCAAAGAGGGAGCTCAGGCAGCTTTGATCCAAAGAACTGTTTCACCACAACTCACTGCCCACACTGACTGTGCCAACCAGAACCCGCAGCTTTCACAGCTTCCCCATCTCATAGTTTAGGACCTATCATCCCTTTTGCCTCTACTTTCTAAAAGTCACTTACCCTTATATTTACTAGGCAAAAGTCACACTAGTGAATTGGTTGCACTTATTCTTTTCAGAAACCATCAGTTTCCTCACTTCTTAGGGACAGGGGGTTGGAGAGACAGAGATTTGATGACCTCTGAGGTGGCTACATTCAAAAGAACACCAAATTTGGTGTCAAAGAATTTGGGTTCAGATTCTGGTGTCAGCCAGACTGTGAAACCTTAAACAAGTCACATAAATCCTCTGAGGTTTTCTTTCCTCATCTGGAAAATGAGGATAGTGAGTCTAGGTGACATCTAAAGGCTCTAAATTTCTGATTCTTCCGACTGTGACAAACCAGCAGAGTCTTTTACAAGGGTAGAATTTTCCTAATTAAGTTGGAGGAGTAAAGCCATTCTGTTCAACAACAGAAGCTTTCCAAGGACCATTTTTATTTAAAAAAAAAAACCATGAAGGCAGAATGTACATGTTTATTTTTTTCCTTCAAATCTCAAAATTTTCTAAAATTAAAAACTTTGGACTTAAAAAACTCCTAACAATGGAATGACCAAACATGATTCCAGAGGACCAATGATGAAACATGCTTCCAAACCACCTGACAGAGAGGTGATAGACTTGGGATGCAGAATGATCTACACAGCCAATATGGGAATTTGCTTTAAGTATGCATATGTGTTACAAAGTGTTTGGTTTTTGTTCTCCAATGGGAACACAAGAGGTTGATAAGAAGAAAATAGGGATTTTTGATCATTAAAAATCTTTAAAATTTGCTGCTACATTTGCTCAACTTTTAATAGAAACTGTCTAGAAATTAGTACCATGTATGAAACAACATTCTATCACCAGAGCTGAAAGGGATAAAGTTTAACATTCAGGTCTTAAGGAGGGAGAAAACAGTATGCAATGGATAGGGATCTAGCCTGGGGATCTGAAACACCTAGCTTCAAGCCTTCCACCCCAACACATAATGGCTGATATAAGGGATAAAAAGCTGACCTCAGAGTCTGAAGGACCTGGGTTCATGTGCCACCTCTGGTTGTGTGACTCCAAGCAAGTCATTTCTCAGTGGCCCAGGCAACTCTTCAGTACTATAAATTGTACAACAGTTGTAGTCCTGTGTTGACAGAGAAAACTTCCTCAGCAAGAGTGCCCTGTACAAATGAAGTGACAGCATTGAACCATAAAAGGGGGTGGGGAGAGGAAGGCAATTACCAAAGAAAGATTTGTCTCAGAAAGGGTTTTTTAGTCAGAAAAGTATTAATTGCATTTTTTGAAGGTGCAATTAGAACTCCCTGCCAGAGTACAGAAATACTGTGGTTAACATGATCTTTGCACTTGGTTAAAGGTAAGCCCAGGGATAACCTGGAGTCCTCAGGCACAGTGGGAAAGGATGGATCATTTCCCACCTTTATATCTACACAGATCAAGAGAAGAAAAGGAAGGAGACAATTACCAGCTCTGACGAAGAGCAGGCTCTCTCACTTGCACCATCCTATCTCCCTCCACCAGATTCACAATCTGATTTCTCAAACTTAGACTTTCTTTGTGCAGACATAGCCTAGTGTTTGCATCGTCCTGGTGTGCAAAGCTCTAGAAGTACTATGTTTATGTTTCCCCACTTTTTCCCTGCCTCTTGTGGGCTATTAGCCCCCATTAGCTAACAGTTTACTTTTTACTCATTCTTTCTCTTCTCTGGCATCCAAAGTCCAAGACATGGGCAAAACTATTTTCTAGCCTATACACAGGGCATCAGGCTCTCCTTCTAGGCAGACCCAAACTAGGCTTGGTGGTCTGGGCTTTGCCTCAGGGTACTGAAATTTAAAGTACTTGCAATCTTTCAACAACATAAAGACAACTGAACTTAGCACCCAGCTAATAAGACTAGTTAAAATAAGAAGCTATTATCTTCCTCTCCCAACCCCCAGCAGCTCTGCCCCAGATAAATGCCTGGGAGTACCAGATGATCTCTGAGATCTCTTCTGGTTCTAAATCTGATCATACTGTGATCCCAGGATCTGCAGCTATACAACAATTGACTAATCAATTGGCTTTCATATGACCAGTAATGTCCAAGAAAGAATCTCCTGAAATTGCTTATTACTGATATTTTAATCTGGCTTCATAAGGTAGCCAAACCTATGAATAAAATAGAGTCTGTCACAGGCAGCATTCCACTTCAAACAACAAATTACACCCTTGTAACCCATAAGTAGGCCATTTCTCTTGCAATCAAATCAAATTATTGATCTTAATCTGTAAGGCCTCACTAAGGCAGGGTGTCTCACAGGTTGTCTATTTTATCCCCTTCAGGCTTCAAATACTTAAGGGCAGTCAGCCACTCCTGTTAACTGGTCACAGACCGGTACTTTGAAGAATGAGATGCCAGTCGTTAGCTAGGGAATGCTTTTATTCTTTCTTCTTGCTGCTCTTGGCCTTGTCTATTTCAGGCAGCCTGAAACCATGATAAAGCAGGAGGATAGCTGACTGTTAATATCCTGCATTTTTTTAACATTTTTTTAACATTTCAATTGCTTACCTAGTTAATCAGTATTTGTGACACATACCCAACATGCATGCCAGATGAGTTGCTAGACATTCTCTTTTTGAAACTGGCACCTCAAGGCTAAGACAAAGAATGTGATTTTTAAGGTATGAATGTTTAACAAATAGAAAACATGCTAGAGAATTCTGAAACTGATTGCTCATTTTTCTCCTTTGTTCTACCTACCTGCATCAGGTATAAATGTCAAACAAAGAGAGAAATCCAGACCCTGCTGGAAACCATAGAGGTATGTGTTTTGCTGCCTCTGTATTTCAAGGTTAAGCACCACCATCACCATCACTAATGATTTTTGTTGTTGTTCAGTTGTTTTCAGTCACATCTGACTCTTCATGACCGCATTTGGGGTTTTCTTGGCAAAGATACCAGAGTGGTTTACCATTTACTTTTCCAGCTCATTTTACCAATGAGGAAACTGAGACAAACAGGGTTACATGACTTGCCCAGGGCCACACAGCTAATAAGTAGCTGAGGCCACATTTGAACTCAGGAAGATGAGTCTTCCTGACTCCAGGCCTAGCACTCTAACCGCTGCACCACCTAGCTGCCCACTAATAATGATAATAGCTTGCATTTCCGTGTTAGTCTTATAGTTTACAACGCATGTTACACATGTCACTTGAAAGAAAGGATTCCTCTCAGGGGAATAAGAGACATAATTATCAACAGAAGCAAGGTGGCCTACTCTGAATTTTTGACTCTTGGGGCCCAGAATTTAAACAGTAAGAAAGGAGGTTATTGAATCTGATGAGATACAACTCTCAGCACCACAAACATTGGTTAGCTGAGATCTGATAGTGACTCCCCAAGCCCCTGTAAAACAGGAAACAAAACACAAGTGGGGAAGACAAAGATCACATCCACCACCTAGTCCTGGTGATGAGTCACTCTCTGGCTAAATAGGCACCAGCAGAGCAGAGGAGCAAGGCCCATCCAGCATCAGGAAATGGCATCTAGAACCCAGGGAACCAACCGATACAATGCCAACTGCTGCTCACTATCTCTAGGCTGCAGGCCAGAGAAGATGTAGGTTTCTTTTCAACTTCTTTTTTTTTGCAAAAGGCAAGCTGTCTCACCTACCCATCGCTATACAAGCAAGTTTTAGTAACCCATAGAAAACTTACTTCTGTAATCATTTATTTCACCAAAGTGTTATTCAGTCTCAAAGATCTAGAGTAGGAAGGAACCTCAAGACCCATCTTGTCAAACTCCTTCATTTTGTGAAGAAACAGATTCTGGGAGGGATTGAGTGATTTGCCCTAAGTCATAAAGGTAGAATAAGCAATAGGAGCAGGATTGGAACTCAGGGTCCTTTGCTTCCCAGAACGAGATTCTCTTCATCGTACCTGCTTCTTCCTTTAAAATCTGTTTGCTGGTAACTGAGACCATAAAATCAATCAATAAGCATTTATTGAATACTTACTGTATGTCAGAAATAGTGTTAAGCACTGGGGACACAAAGAAACATTAAAAAAAAACCCATCTCCTGCCTTCTGCCCTCAAGAAGCTTGCATTCCAAAGAGATCCACTTGAACTACAGACTGTGACAACAACAATAATAATAACAATAATAATAAATAATTAAAGATTTTTCTGCAAAACTGAACTATATTCCCCCTTCTGTTGCAAAAGGAAAACATAGCTTGTTAGAACAAACCAACTGAAGATTTACGGCAACTAAAACTGATGAACTTTTCCTTCTGTAATCAGAATATCTGGGAAAAGTAGGGAAGGGATCTATGGCAAACATTCCAACCTAGAAGTTCTTGTTGTTGGGTTTCTGCTTTTTGCCCTTTTCTCTTGCCATAACAATGTACTGCTTGGTGACATGGAGATAAAAATGGAAGTAAATGTGGTCACATTGGTCAGCATACATATGTTAATCTCTTGAAAGCAAGTAGTTAGAAAGAGAACCCTGGTTCCCCAGGTCATACATTTAGAGTTTCCACGCGGTTTTCATCATGATGATGAAATAGATATCGGTGTCTATCGATGCACTCACTCCTGCATAGTAGTTCATAAATTCCTCTGGTGTGACCTGCAGTGGCAAAGTTTAAAACAGAAAGGGAAATCTTCACATCTCATTGCTGCATTGCCTAGAATATAGAAGGAGCTAAGTTCAAGCAGCTAAGGAATGGACCTGAAATAAGAGAATCCAATAATGGACAGTCAAAAGTATGTGGGGAAAACACTTTCCAAAGGGAATGTGCCTTTTGAAGGAAAAATAAGTGGGGGAGGAGAGAAGGATACAAAGAATGAAGAAAGAAGGCTTGACAATTTCTAGACCAATTTAGATTTTTTAAAAGTGGCGCATCATCCACCTCACTTTGCTTTAAGATCAAGAGTATGCCTGTTGAAGATATGTGAGACTGATACTCAAAACACAACAATTTGTTTTCTTAACTATGGTTAAGATTGTCATTCTGTGACATTACTGGTTGCTATGGTAGGCTATGCACGGCAAAGTGATTTTCTGCCTTTCAAAGACTGGAGTTTAGTTCTAACTGCAGAGACAGAATTCCAGTTAAATGATCTTCTATCATCTGCTTTCATAAGAGGCAAATGTTTCACTGGATGAAGAGCAGAAGAAGACAAAACTGGCTTCTGTTTTTTTTTTCAATTTTGTATGTGTGCTCATGCTCAGTTTTATTAAGCTAATGAGATCTTTCATCTAAGTTTGGAGTTTAGGCCATTTTGCTTTTTGAAAAAGAGGAGAAAAAATGTTATCTATCTTATTTCATTTCATTTTAGGCCAGATGTGTAGATATAACCAGTTTAACTATCTAATTTGACTTAGGAAAAGTCATCAAATTCCAACCAATTATCTAACTGGTTTTCTTGGCTTTTTGACTGACTTTACCTATGAATTCCACTCAAAGAGTACCACTATTTATATGTGTAGAAAGAGTGGCTATCTAAGAAATTCACATTCCTAGTCAATCCTTAATTATATCGTAAGGAATAAGGACGGCAGAGACACCTGAAATACACAGGGGAATTTTTAAAAACCCCTCTACAGCCCATAGTGGCAACCTCCTTCATTGTTGTTATGTTTTAAATCTCTGCAGCTACTAAGAGTAATAATGATTTGAATTTCATCTTTGTGTCTTTCTAATGAAAGTGTTAATGAGGACAAGGAGAGAAAGGAAGAGAGAGAACACCTAAAACAGAACGAAGAGGACACAAAATTGGGTCTGAATAATCCACAGAGCAGATCCTCCGAGGAATCCAACAGTAACTAGAGAAACAGAAAGAGAAAAAGATGGTTAGATATCTCAGAATTAAACGTTTGTCAGTGACTTTGTTATCTTCAACAGAGGTGGATAGGAGCCAGTGAATTTGAAATCAGTATCATTTGAGCTCTCAGTTTCACTAATGGCTTATTTACATAATAACTAATTTGCCTACTCCTTCTTAAAAGGTCAACTTCCACCTAGACCCCTGTCTGGCAATATTGGTTTCCCCTGTGGTTTAATGTTTGTACTCAGCACTCTCCTCACTTGGTTTTCCAGGTAGCTTTGTCCTGTTGTCCCCTATCATCTCTTATTATAGATACCCCAGTCTTTACTTTCTAAGTCCCTGTTTAGCCCTTCACCTGCCTTTGTACTACTCTTTCTTAAACTTCAAAATAGTTTGGTGGCTGCTCCACAAAAGCATGCCTCACCCTAAAAGAACCCAACATAAAAAAATATCTGGGGCTGATAACTTACTTTACAAAGGGATTCAGTGGAGGATTCCTTCATATGCTGAGTTTCCCTAGTACCATTAAAACATAGTACAATTCAAAAAAGTTTGGTTTACATGAAACTTTTCAGAAACACTTACTTTAAACCCAATAATCTTGGGTATTAAAATGTTTACTTCTGGTACCTTCAGCCATCACAAAAACAGAGTTCTTTCATGGGAAGGATAATATATCATCCTACATTTTTACCACTATACTTCAAAAGTTAAACTCAGTTGTCAACAGGAAAATTGATACTGTTGGTTGAACCAATGAGTAAAATAGTTGCTGGCTAAATAAGTTTAGGGTCAGAAAGGACCTTAGAGATCTAGTCAATGCCCCTTATCTTAAAGATGAGGAAACTGAGGTCAGATATTTTTAAAAGACTTATCCAAGGTCATACAGCTAGTGGCACAGTGAAGACTAGAACTCAGGTCTCCTAACTCCCAAGTCTAGAGTATTTTCTACCATTCTGAAGTAGTTTTCTGACCTAAGAGGAAGATTGCTTATTTAAAAGGCTCCATTGCCTCTTTTTTCCATAGTGCTGGAGGCTGCCAATTTAGTAATAAAGGCTCACTACAGATTTCTAAGGAAAGCTGGGGAATACTCTTTCAGAAGATAACATGTTTTTCCTTTCCCCACCTCCATTTTTCCTTCCTGTCAAACTATTCTTTTAGCATGTACCTCTCCCCCAGTAAAAGAGAGGTTGATTTTATACTTTTACCAGTTCTACGACTCTCAGGGCCTCAGTTTTCTTATCTGTAAAATGAGGGGATTGGAACAGATGGGTGACCTTTAAAGTACCTTCCAGGGAGGTCCCTAAGTTTCCTAACACTCTCCTAGGAAGAAACTTCCCAGCTGCTGTTATCAGTAAGAAAACCAAACAGCAGAAGGAGGTCTGGGGAATTGTGACTAAGGTATATCCCCTTTTCTCCTTCTGGAATGTTTTATTTTGTTTTGTTTTGTTTCCAGGAAATCAAGTCTTTAGGATGTTCATTATGAGCAAGCAATGGGAACAGAAAGTAATTCCAAATTTGGATTAAGGACCACTCTGGGAAATGCTGCTTTCATCTCTCTAAAAGTCAAAAAGCTGATATTGGTAATGGTGACTTTGAAGAACAGAAGACCTTGAAATGTGGTCAGAATTCATGTGGGGATTAAAACATAGCATAGTGAGTGTCTTCGAAGTTGAGTACCTTTTACTGTCTTCTAATTCTTGAGAAACTGATCATCCTTGGGTGGTACTGATAGTAACTCTTTGTTAACCAGATTACCAGATTAATGTATAATTAAACAAAGCAGCCCATTCCCCCACCATGCATGGAGATCAGATAACTGAGAGTTCTCCTTCTGTGGCTAGGGTGACAACCTATCTGTCTGCTTTAGTTATTCTTAGTACTTTAGCATTTGTCAACATTTTAAAACTTTGGTAAAGAACTTCCTTGCTTGCTTGCTTTCTATTCCAAGATATGATAGAAAATTTGTTTAGTTCTGAACTCACCAGTCCCTTTTCATATTGAACAACTAAAATTAATTAGCCAAGCTTCACTTAGCTTAAGCCTTTCACTTACCAATCCATCCTTGTCATAGGGTGAATCAAAGTTATCCAGAAATTTTCGGAAAACCTGTTCTTCTGTCCATTCTCCGTTCTGGTACTTTGGATGGTGCTTGACATTGTACACCCCACGTAAATCCTCAATTGTTATCACACCATCACCTGTCTTGTCTAACTTCCGGAAGGCCTGCATGATGACCTCCTTCCTGGCTCTGGACATTGGGGGCTACAGGAAGAGAAAAAAAAAAATGCAAACCTCATCGAAAAGCACTGCTGTACAGAGGATGATGAGTTCATTTACTGATTGCAGGGCTCAGAAAGTATCTGCATATCCACCAATGGTCCAAAGGGTGGTAAGTCTTAGAAATTCCCAGGCAGCATTCTCCTGTCTTCTCCCCTAAACCACCTTTGTGGTTGTCTGTCTTCCTTTTGGGAGATGCAGCAATACCTACCATCCACAGGCAGGAAACCAAATCATGCAGAAATTAGGTCCTTGACAACCCTAGAATCCCAGGTTCAAAGTTGGAAGGGACATTAGAGGTCACCTAGTCCTAGCTGCCTTCATTGTGTACCAACAGATATCAAAGACAAAAATCAAATTATAGAGCAAACAATTGGAAAACCAAGTACAGATGCAGCACTCTGATACTCACCCTTAATGTGAGAAGAAATTCATTAAAATCTATTTTCCCATTTCCATCTTTATCAAATTGACTGAAGAGTTCCTGTGCTTCTTCTTTGTCCATCACCACAGCATAATCATTTAACCCTTTCACGAACTCTTTGAAGTCGATGGTTCGGTTGTTATCATCATCCATGATCCGAAATACTCTGAAGAAAACATAAACATACAAACACATACGCATAGCCACTAACAGGAAAATAGGTGTGGGAGTAAAAAAAAAAAAAGGCAAACTAAAGCCAAGGTTTTCATCATAAAAATATAGACACTCAGAAAGGAAATAATGTGTGCATGTAAAGTGCTTTGCAAAACTCCAAGTACTATATAAATATGAGCCACTAGTACTATCCCTCTGTTCTTTCTGGTCTGACCAAACTGAGACAATATTTTCTAAACTTTTCCAAAATGGGAAATGGAACTTAAAATAAAACACACACAGGACATGCTACAAGTTCTTTCCCTGAGATGAGCCATTAGCTAAAAGACATTGTGGTTGTCCGTCTTCCATTTGGGAGAATGCAGCAATACCTACCGTTCCCAGGCAGGAAACCAAACCACACAGAGATTAGGTCTTTGAGGACCCCAGAATCCCAGGTTTAGAGTTGGAAGGGACTTTAGAGGTCACCTAGTCCAGTCCCTCAGTTACAGATGAGGGAACTGAGGTGAAAAGACATTAAGGAATTTGCCTAAGGTTACAGGAACTGTTACAGGAACCCAAGCCTTCTGACCACCTACCCAGCAAGCTCGCCACCTCCCCACAGTGCCTCGATGCTGATGTTCATTTTCCTCAACAAAACATGGAGCAGCAAGAGCAACTTTTCCCATTGGAAGAGGAGAAGTCCATTCCTAGGTGAAGAGTCCCATTATAGAAAGAAATGAAGATCAAACCACCAAAATGGGCCACAGTACCAAGTCCTGTTAGTACTTTGGTAGCCTTCTGCATTATTGTGGCCAAACTAACTGTCCAGGAAAACTGAGGAATGAAAAAACTTAAAGGGATGTGATAACTGTCTTCAAGTATTTAAAGAGCTATTATCCAAAAAAGAAATAAGACTTCCAGTAGTCAACCAGTCAAGGAATGCATTTATTAAACTCCTACTATGTCTCAGGAACTGTGTCAGGTATTGGAGAGAGACAAAGGCTAAAACACCTCCCTGCCCTCCAAAAGCTTATATTCTATACAGCAAAGAACATATACATAGACACAGAAATATAAGAGCTAGAAGAAGTAAATACAAATTAATTTCAGGGGAAAAGCACTTGCATTTCCCTGGGAGGTTCGTGTACAATGGGAAGTGGAAAATGAGCTGAACTTTGGAGGAACCTAGAGATTCTAAGAGATGAGTCTGAGGAGGGAGGGAATACCTTCCACGTGTGTATGGAGAGCAGCCTGTGTAAAGGCTTGGAGATGGGAGATGTCATGTGTGAGATGTAGACCAGAATGGCTGAATTTGTTCTGTCTGTCCTCAAAGCACAGCCCTAGAAGCAAAGAGACTGGAAGCTGCAGAGTCAGATTTAGACTCAATGTACGAATGTTTTCTTAAATAATTAAATATGTCCAAAAGTGGAATGAGCTTGCCCCAGGATGTAGTGAGTGGGCTCCTCACCCCACCCCTACTTGAGGTCTTCAGGTGAAGCCTGGCTGGCCACTCATCATGGATTCTGTAGATTTCTATTCTGGTACAAGTTTAGCTAGAACATCTCCTACATCCTTTCCAATTCTGTGATACTCTTGGCCCTTTACAATGAAGAGACTGTTGAGAGAAGCCTTGTCCTAGCCAGGGCCCGCTGGGTAGCACAGTGCATTAAGCACTTGACCTGAGTTCAAATACAACTACAGACACTTACTAGCTGTATGACCCTGAACAAGTCACTTAACCCTCTTTGTCTCACTTTCCTCATCTGTAAAATGAGATGGAGAGGAAATGGCAAACCACTCTAGTATCTTTGCCAAAAAAAACCCCAAAAAACCCAAATGGGGTCACGAAGAGTCAGCCACAACTGAACAACAGCAATAAAAGGTTACTAATAACACGCTCATAATTCGCATTGGGAAAGGCTAAGTTTTATTCTTGCTCAATTCATTGTAAGTTGGAAATGTCACTGAAGATTAATAAATGCTTGTTGAATTGAGGGGAATTCATTACTTCTTGATAAATTACTGCCTCTGGCTGACTCTTGCCTACCTATATCAATCAGCTTTGAAGAAGAGAAAATTACTAAGGCATAATTTTCGGTCTCCAAAAGAATGTTCACTCTTCCTTCTTTTAATGCGGGGATGTTCCCCGTGTGAAAATCCATTCCCCAGCTGAGATCAGCGACTTGTTGGGCAAGCTAAGCTCAGAGAGTTGCTTAGGGATACTGAAAAGTTAAGTGAATTGTGGAGGACCACCCAGTAACTGTACCTCAGAAGCAGGACCTGAAGAATCTTAGAAAAAAACCTTTAAAGAGAAGGTAGTTTGGTCCCAAGGCAATGATGGAAGCCATTAGTGTATACCTACCATCCTCTCTTCCCTCCTCACAACACCTACATATAGGTTTCATTCTGTCTATACACTAAGCCTAGCCAGGGTTTTCAGGATAAGATCCCTGCAATTAAAAAAAAAAAGCCTTCCCAATCCGAGGCTGGCCCTCCGGGCACTCTGCCATGTGACCCTTCATTTAAGGGTCCCTGAGAGATGCCAGTTTTTTTCTCTGTTGCTACAAATAACAATCTTTGTATCTTTTGTATTTCATAGAATCATAGGATTTATAGCTGGAAGAGACCCTAAAAGGCCACCTTAGCATAAAATGCAAAGGGAAGGGTTTAGATAGAGCAACCAACAGAGAGTAAGCCTCCAGTTTCCTCCAGGAACAGAGAATTAAGGTATATCTAGTCAAGTCAATAGGCATTTATTAAGAACATATTGTGAAGGGGTAGCTAGATGGCGCAGTAGACTCCAGACTTGGAGTCAGGAGGACCTGAGTTCAAATCCGACCTTAGACATTTGACACTTACTAGCTGTGTGACCCTAGGCAAGTCACTCAACCCCGACTGCCTCACCGCCCCCCAAAAAAACCCCAACATATTGTGTGGACAGCTAGGTGGATACAATGGATACAGTGCAGTGTATAGAGCACTGGCCCTGGAATCAGACTTGAGTTCAAATCCAGATTCAGACACTTGACACTTAAGAGCTATGTGATTCTAGGCAAGTCACTTAACTCTGATTGCCTCAAAAAAAAAAAAAAGGTACACTGTATACCAGCCAGCATAGGGTGCTACATCTGGAGTCAGGAAGGAGAGTTCAAGCCCTGCCTCGGGAATTTATTAGCTGTGTGACCCTGGGCAAGTCTCAATGTCTCTAGGCTTTAGTTTTTTCATCTATAAAACAGCTCCTATTTCACAGCATCTGGGGGAGGCTCACATGAGATAGCTTGTAAAATGCTTTACAAACCACAAAATACCTTATAAATATGAGGTTACTTGAGGTACTGAAGTGGGCATAAAAAGGAGATGAAAGGTATAGTTCCTGTACTCGTGGTGCACACAAGCTAAATTCTGCCTCTGTGCTCTAGATCAGAGATAACACCACCCCGGTAGGGAGCCTCACCCAGCTCTGTGAAACAACTGACTAGGCAGTGAGTGTGGACAGTGAACAAGGATGAGCCAGATTTCCACCAGGGATGGAAGGGTTATGACAGTGACTGTGGTGCCTTCATATTGCAGTATTAAAAGTACCTGGGGGCAGCTAGGTGGTGCAGTGGATAGAGCACTGGCCCTGAAGTCAGGAGGACCTGAATTCAAATATGACCTCAGACCAAACACTTGATACTTACTAGCTGTGTGACCCTGGGCAAGTCACTTAACCCCAATTGCCTAAAAAAAAAAAAGTTCCTGGCCCTCTCAGCCTTTCATCTTCACCCAGCAGGACATGCCCAAACTTCATCTGCAAATCCACAAGGAACTGTATCACTGCAAACTCACTACGTGAGCCTTGAACCTCAGGTCCCCAACCCTATATGAAGACTGGAAAACAAACATCTTTCCCCTCTCCGACCTGCAAAAATCTATTCGTTATTCTCCTTGGTCCCAATGCCTCCCTTGTATGCCTGTTTTTCTTGGTTTCTGTGCACTGGGCTATGCTCCAAACACAGGGGTGGTCCACAGACACAGCAGGCTAACCATTGCACAGCCGAGGCTCCAATTCCTTCTAAAGCAAGAACAAGTCCCTCCAATGCATAGCAGCCATCAGACCCAGCAGGGAATACCTCAGTGTTCCAAGAAGTTCCTTGGGTTCCTGACAGTGCCTTTTCCTGGTGTCAGAGTTAGGTGGTTGCCAGGGTAACAAAAGACACCTACTTTTGCCCTATGTGTTAATAGAACATAAGCTGCTGTAGAGAAAGGATTCCCTGGCTTTTTTTTTCTTTTTCTTTATTTTTGTCTTTTTTTTCCCAGCATTGGCATAGTACTTGGCATGTGGTAGATACATGCTTAATAAATTCATACTTATTGTTGATTGATTAATTGAATCAAAGGTAATTATATTTGAGCAATTTGGAGGGGCTACAAGATGATGGAGTTATGCACAAATGGAGGGAGAAAGGGACCGCTGTCCCTTCAAAATCCACTATCTTTCAGAGTCAAAGAGGAAGCAAAGAAAGATAAACTCAGAGCCTAGGTAGAGTTTTGAGGATTTTTTTTTTCTTTTGGCTTGATTTAAGAGAGGAAAGAGGAGGGATGGAAAGAATAAAACTGTTTCTTAGGGAGGTTGGGATATTCACTCGATCCTTTTCAGGTATGGCGGAGTCTCCTTTGGATATGGCCACTAAGAATTACAAAATTGCAAATGTCTTCTAAAATAATCGAGCTCAACACCCTTATTTTACTGATGATAAAAGGCAAAAATAACAGTAACCACTCAGATTTAATTAGCCTTTAAGGTTTCATAAAGTCATAGATTTAGAGGTAGAAATGACTGTGGAAGTCATCTAGCCAAATCACCTCATTTTACAGCTGAGGAAACCAAGACCCAGCATTAGTCAGTGACTTACCCAAGGTCACACACTGGTAGAAAGCAGCAAAGCTGGGTTTTTTAATTCAAATCTTCTGGTTCTAAGGCCAGCCCTCTTTCCATTATGCCACACTGACTACTATCCCAAAATACCTTTTTTTCTAACAACTGTCTGAGGTAGAAAACAAGCTCCTTAAAGGCAAGGACTTTCTAGGCCTTCTCTTCGCATCCTCAGCATCTAATATAATGACAGAACATTGTGGTATATAGTGTTTGCATCCTAGCTATTCATTTGCATGTCCTTTTCCCTTATGACATTGTTATATCCTTCAAGAATAGGATCTAGATCAGCTCTTTTTTCTTATCTCCAGTGCCTGGCATGATGCCCTGCACATAGCAAGCACTTTATTAGTCCTTGAGAAAAGGTATGTTGGATTGAGATAGGTGGTAAAAATATAATTATGCCCATTCTGTAGATGAAAAAACTAAGACTCAAAGGGATAAAGTAATCTCCTGAGGTCACACTGCTTCTCAGTGAAGAGATCAAAATGACTGATGCAAGGTCATGTTGCTGAATTATTGGCAAAGCCAGGATTTGCCCTCAGTGCTAGTCTAGCACTCTGGGTAACACACCACAATGTCATCGATTCCTTCCCTCTTACCTGCCAAGGCCCTTGATACCAGCTGACCCCCTGGCTAAGCACTGGAGCCGAAGTCTTTCAATGGGGTCTGTGGCTGTAGCAAGCCTTCTCTTGGCCTGGATCGCCATCTCCCGGTCATGCCTTGCAGTCCCAGCCATCTGAAGAGGATTTTCACAAGTCACCAAGGAGTTCTGCCTTGCAGGATAGACCCTGTATGCATTAGAAGAAATCAGTTATGCAGCCTGACCTTTATCTGCACAGAATTTACATCAGGTTAATCTGAAGGGTAACTAATTCCCTTTTACTCACTGCTTGCTTTGTCAAATCTTCCCAAGAATTGACTCAGTTTCCAGAACATCCCACATTCAATTTGATCCAGTTCAATTCACATTTATGGAGTACAGATAATGTGTCTGGAATATGTGTCACTTATTTATCCATTTTCAGGTACAGCTGGTTTCAGAGCTGAACAATACTCAGTTGTTCTAAAATCTTCAGTCAATTTCCACAAGGTTTTATTGGGCCATATATTTCAAAAAAATTGTAATTTTCTGACTCTAGGGGGAAAAAGTCCCTGTGATGCCTCTGTATCTACCACCTGCCTCCCTGAATCAACGACCTTAATTCTTGCTCTTCAGAGACCTGAGTCTCTACTTTTGCATTCTTCTGTTAGGCCTGGTGATAAACAGGACCCATAGGTACTAGCTCTCTATTGAGTTTATCTTTCCTGAAATTAGCAATTTGGTCTTGACTGAACCTATCTGTGCCTGTAGGTTTTCCTTGATAAATTGGTTCCAAGTCCTAATAAAAACCAGAAAGGCAGATTGGGTAGAAGATAGAGAGCCTACTTCCTCTGAGACAAAAAGAGTGGGCTTGAGTCCCATTAATGACACAAACTGACTGTGTGACCCTGGGCAAGTCACTTAACTTCTCAGTGCCCCAAGGCAACTCACTAAGAACATAAACTGCAAATCAGTTGCTGACCTGCACTGGTAGAGAAAGTTTCCTTACAGGGACCTCCCCCCACCCATTAAATCACAAGTCAGGGAAAAACAAAGTAAGGACTAGAAAACTTAGAATGAGACAACCAGACTGCATGAAAAATCATGTAAAGACTTGGATGAACAGATGCAGAATGAAGTCACCGAGTCAGGAAAACAGTAGACACCATGATTATATAAATGGAAATAATCAAAATTAATAATCAAAATTAATCAATAATCAAAATTAAATATTTCAAAAATGTAAAGAACAAGCTTCGCCCGTAAGAAATGATGTGAGAAGATACCTCCCCGTACTGCTTGGCAGAGGTGGAGGACTACAGATGTTGAACACTGCATAAAATGCCTGTTTTTTTCAATATGTTGATCAAAGGTTTTTCCCTCCTCCATTAAAAAAAAATTCTCTATTAAAAGAGATGGCTCTTTGATAGGGGAAGAGTGACAGATATAAGATAAAATCTAGGGGATGTAAAAAAGGTATCAATAGAATCTATTATTTTTTAAAAGAGGAGCAGAATGTCTAGGATTAGGCAGATTGAGAGAAATGATAATTACTCTCTTATATTGGTAACTAATTATTGAATCAGGACCAACGTTTTTCCTCTTTTCTGCTTCCTCATCCAGAAATCACCCAGTGTGGGGAAATCTTTCTCAAAGACTTATCCAAGCTAAAAATTGAATCAAAGACAGTAAAAGAAATTCTAAGTTTAGGCTAATGAGAGGATTCCTGCTCATTGTATTCACTCAGATAGGTCTGGGAAAATGTGTATTCTCCCTTTTGTTAGACAGGTGATATGAAAATTAAGAAGTCTCTTTGACCAAGGCTTGGGTGATCCAAGTCACTGTACAAGACCTTCACTGGAATATAACCCACCTCTCATTATAATATTCATTTTCTCATTAAATGTTAACCAATCAAAGTTAATTGCCAACCTTAGGAGCACCCACTCTTCCAAGGGTATATAAACTGTGAGCCCACCACCATGAGGAGTCTTCAGCATTCAAGAGTGCCACTGACCTATTTTACTAAGAAACATGTTAGCCTTATTAATAAAATGATTAAATTACCCAGAAACAGTGTCTCTCAAATTTTTTAAACATCACAAAATGCTATACTGTGCTCCAGTTACACATCTAGAGTATTGTGTTCAGCTCAGACATCTCATATAAGGAAAAACAATCATGAATTGGAAAGTGTCCCAAGAACAATAACTAGAATGGTAAAGGATGACAAGTTCATGCCATGTAAGAATCAGAAATGGAAGGAAATGGAAAAGTTTAGCCTTAAGAAGAGAAGGCTTAATGGAGCCTTTGATTGTTGTCCTCAATTCTGCTGGGTAGAAGAGGCATATGACTAGTCCATCTTGGCCCCAAGGACCAGGCCAGTTTAGCGGTTATGAATAGAAGTTGCAGAAGCAAATTTAAGCTTACTGTAGTCTTACTTCCAAGCAATGAGAAATACCCAGAAGCGCAATAGGCTGCCTAGAAGGGTAGTGGGCAGGTTCCCCTTCATTGAAGGTCTTCAAGAAAAGCCTTGTACTTTGGTGTAACCCCAGCCCTGAAACCTAAGTGACCAGAGAGCCTGAAGAGACTCAGCTACTTGAAGAAAACTCAAAGGAGATTCCAAGAGGACTTGAAGAAAACAGAAGAGCTCTCCTCTCTCCCACTCTCTCCAACCCCAGCATTCAGCTACACGAGTGAGCAGAGAATCCCATACCAAATGGCTTTGGGACTGGGGTTACACTGGGAAAACCATTTCTTTCTAAACAGAGGAATGGAGATACAGGTATGAGATGGGAAGGAAGTACCAAAGGTTTCTTGGCTAATGTAAAATGGTCTTGTAGGAAGGGAGGGAAAGTCTAAAACAGAATTGTCAAACACAAGATTAAAATGTAATTGGGAAATATTTAACAAAATGAATTAAAATGCAATGGAATGTAGATAATGTTAATTTGTCAATTATCTATTATATCTGTATATTCTAAGTCAATATGAAATGCTGGAAGTCTTGATTCAATAGCCCTGTTTCTATTTGAGTTTGACACTACCATTCTGAAGGAATGGGTGATTTTGGCAAAAAAAAAAAAAGTTATTGGAGGCTCTATTTCATTCTTTTCTGAAACCAGAACTATTTAAATGTTTCAGATTATAAACTATTGAACCTACCAAAAACCCTCCCTAGAAATAAGCCTCAACAAGTTCATCCTTATTTTGCTTCTGATTGGACTCTAAATAGGCTTCCCGATTTCCCTTCTAGATGAATTCAAGTGCCTGCCTGGCCTTATATCTGTCTGTTCTCATAGTTATTTGTTCAAAATCCCAGCCTGAACTTTGTTCCTACAGAATCACTGATGTGCTTATGAAACTAATTTGCTTAACTGATATAGCTTCCATTTATAATTCTCCTTTATTCTTCCTTATTCTGCTCTTTTCCTTTTCTCTGATCAATAATTTACTTCCTTTTTTTTTCCCTTCAAAGCAGTAGTGAGAGCCAGGAATCCTGACAGACATTCTGATAAGTCATTCAAATACATCTGCTGTTTCAGTGTTCACATCTTTAAAACTGAATAGTAACAGCAGCTGGCTCCTGTTTGTTCAAAAAACTTCAAATTCCATCTCCTATGCCTTTGCACAAGTCATTGCCCACAGCAAGAATGCCCTCCCTCTTCACTCATCTTCTACTATCCCTAGCTTCCATCAAAGCTCAGCTCCGGCCACACCTCAGACATGAGATCTTTCCTGAGCTTGTCCCACACCTCATGTCTCTCACCTCAAATTACCTCATCTTTCTCTTGTATCTATTTTGCATATACTTATATATGTGCACAAATCGTTTCCTCCACTAAACTCTTTGAGGGTAAAGACTTTATTTTTTTCCCTTCATTATCTGCAGCACCCCCGCATAGTACCTGGCACATAGCAGGCACATTAAAAAGGCTGACTGATGAATCAAAGGGTATTGTGGGCATGAGATAACAGAAACAGTACTGCCAGCTCCTAAAAGGGAGGTACGATAACATGGTATGCTGCTGCCAGATCTGCATGGTTAGCCTTGCCTAGCTTTTTTTTTTCTTTTTGGACTTCAGTTAAAAAAAAAAAGCCAACTTTGCAAGCACAAGGTGGAGGAGGGGTGGTTAGAGGACAATTCATCAAGAAAAAAGATCTGGGAATATTAGTGGACTGCAAACTTGATATGGCTTAACAATGTGAAAGAGCAGCTGCAAAAGCTAATTCAATCTTAAGCAGAACAAGGGTGGTGATAATGTTATCTTACCAGTCCATGCTCTGACCTCACCTGGAGCACTGTGCATCATTGTGGACACCACTTTTTAGGAAGGATATTGGAAAAATGGTGTGTGTCCGCAGGAGGGTGTTGCAGCATGAGGAGATCATGCGAAAAGGAAAAAAAAAAAGACCACTTGAAGGAACTGGGGAAGTGGGGAGGGGGGCAGGGTGGTATCCTGGAAAAGCCATCTGCCCTCATTGCCTTCATTTCTTCTCCTCCCACTCATTTCTCAACCCTTGCATCCTGGATTCTAACCTCACCATTCTACTGAAAATGCTCCCTCTCTGATGTTCCCCAGAATGTCTTAATTGCCTACCCAGTGGCCCATTCTCAGCCCCCTTCCTTCTTGAGCTTAATAGAGCATTCGCCATTGAGGACCACCCCCCTTCTACTCTACACTCTCTTCCCTGTGTGATGTGATGCTTCCTCCTGCTTCCTTTCTTACCTGTTTGATGATTCCTCAGATCCCTTTGACAGACTATCATTACAGTCCTGCCTCCCAAGTGGGATGGAGCTAGCCCCCCCAGCTTTATCCTGAGAACCCCTTTTCTTCCTCCATATCTTCTCTCAGAGATCTTATCACTTCCCATGGGTTCCATCGTTATCTCTAAACAGATAACTCCCACCTCCGTATACCCAGTCACAGGTCCAGTTCTGTATCACCAAGTGGCTTTGGGACATGTCCAACTGGATATCCCATAGACATTCCAAACTCAGGATGTCCAAGCCATATCTAATTACCATCCCCTTTTCAAACCTTCTCCTCCTCCTGTTTTTCCTGTTCCTGTTGACAGCATCCTTCTGGTTGGCCAGGTTTCCCAGCAGGTTTCTAGCCTCAGAGTCATCTTAAACTGTGCCTGTCATGAATTTTCTCATTGTGTCTGACTTATGGCTTCTCTGACTCCATTTTATTATAGTATGTGTAAGGACAGGTTCACTTCTTAGAATGGTGTTAACTGCAAGGCCTCTTCCCTCTGGAGAATGGAAACAAATAGCTAATAACTACCATTGGTATAGCACTTTAAGGTTTGCAAAGAACTTTGCAAACATCTCATTTGATCCTCACAACAACCCTGGGAGGTGGGTGCTATTGTTAACCCATTTGACAGATGAAGAAACTGAGGCAGATAGGAGTTAAAGGATTTTTCCAGGTTCAGGATGTCTGGGGCCAGATTTGAATTCAGGTCTTCCTGGTTCTGGATCCAGTGTTTTATTCACTGTATCACCTTATTGCTTGCTATAAAATATATAAATAAACACACATCTACATATACCTATATTTATTATGTATACTTTTATTATTATAGTTTTATTACCTATATCTATTATATGTTTATATGTACCTATATTCAAAATGAAGGACTGTGAAGGGTCTCTGTGTATTGGAAGCTTATTCTCCCTCCCCTACAGAATCTGTTACCAATCCTATCATAAAATCCTAAAGCGGGAATGAAGGGATGGGGAGCATAATCAGCCACACAAGGCCCTTTGTTCTCCTGACACATGCTAGATGATTTAGTGGCAGGTCCTCTTCCCACCCTCCCTGCTCCCAAAGATCCATACCCATGTCAATCGGCCTGTGCTCTGTGATAATTATTTCTTGCTCTTCCTCTTCTCCCAATAATAACCCAAATGGCTGCCTAACACCTGGCATCATATGTAAGACCCTCCATGTCCCCTTGTTAACTAACTTCGAGTTTAACCAGGAAATATTCTAATCTCATTCTCTTATTCCCTTCAACCAATCACCATGTTCAGAAATGAAACACATGAAGGAGGCACGTAAAGACACCACCTACAAGAGGCGGGATCATCTCCAACACATCAGATATGGGACTTCCATCTTCTGACCTGTCACCCAATCCCAAACTGGGGAACCGCTATATCATCAACCCAATGTCAGCACCAATTTGAAGGCCCACAACATCCTACTCCAGTCTTCAGCTGGCTGTAAAAAACATATATACCCTTGAGGAAGAGTCTTTTGGACACCGATGTCTTATGGACAGATTTCCTTTTCCACCATTCATCTGATCATCAATTCTGATGCTGAGGCTGGAATTACCACTTACTTAATCATGTAATTAACTAATTAATGCATAATCACTCATTTAGTACAGGTATTTGCCACCAATGGAAAGAATTAACTGATCATGTCCCCATTTCATTTTTAAACTTCTCAAATTCACAGAGTCCTCATTCCAGTTCTTTGGAATTGGACCTAATTTAAACTCTCCACTGTTACTCTCCTCTTCCACTGTTGCCACGTTGGGTCAATCCTATCTCCACAGTATTACATCTGTCCTCTTCTCTAGCACAACCACTGTGAGAAGTGGCATAACAGACACAGTGCAGAACTTGGAGACAGAAAGACCCAAGTTCAAATGCTACCTCAGAAACTCACTAACTATGTGACCCTGGGTAAGTGACTTAACCTCTCTCTGATTCATTTTCCTTGTCTGAAAAAAACGGTGATAATAAGAGTACTAATAATCATAGCGTTGTTGTAAAGATCAAACGAGGTAAAATATGCAAAGCACCTCATATGCCTTAAAGCACTATGTGAATGCTAGCATTTGTTATTAATTCAGTTCCTCATTATTTCTCTCCTAGATTATTACAATAGGCTCCTGACAGGACCTTCTAACTTTTCATTTCACCCTTCTCCAATCAGTTCTCTACAGAGCTGACAAAATTATCTTTCTACAGCCTAGGTCCACACTATTACCCTACTCAGGAACCCTCAGAGAGTCTCTGTTGCCTGTAAAATAAAATGTAAACTCCTCAGCCCTTCGCAAAATGATTCCAAACTGCCTTTCCAGGTTAATGGCACATCATCCCTATTCATGTAGTATATGTTCCAGCCAAATTGGCCACTTGCTGTTTCCCAAACTCTACACTCAATCTCTTGCCTCCAAATCTTTGCACCAAGCTGTCCCTCTTGTCTGGCATGTGCCCCCTCCTCATTTGTGCTTCCTGAAATCTCTAGTTTCCTCCAGGAATCAGCTGATGTGCTAGCTCCTACAAGAAGCTTTTTCTTCCCGCCCCCCAACTTGGTTGTTAAGGTTCTCTCCTCAAATGATCAAGTGGGTACATGTCTGTTCACATGTGGTTTCCTCCCAGCAGAAGGCAAGTTCCTTAAGGGCAAAGATTGAGGTTTTGTTTTTGGTTTTTTGCTTTTACTTTTTTGTATCCTCAGCCCCTCACCCAGTCCCTGAACAAACGCTTGTTTGAATGGGTTCGAATTCAACTGGGCTATATACTACCTTCTTCATGTGGAAGAGGGATTAGATTTTTCCACATGGCCCCTGAGGATTGGAAGAACTGAAAGCAATAGGTCAGTGTTTCAGGAAGGTACATTTCAGTTAGATGTGAAGGAAAAGTACATTTCAGTTAGGTGGAAGGGAAAATGTCCTCACTACAACTGTTACCCGAAACTGGCATCAGTTCTCTAAACGGTTACAGGGCTGGGGACCCTGCGGCCCTCACAAGTTGTGTGAAGTTTGGATTCAGTCAAAGGGCCACTAGAGGACTCAGAGGGCCACATGTGGCCTCGAGGCCGCAGGTTCCCCAGCCCTGGACCATTAGAGGGTGCCCCTTTGCTAGAGATCTTCAGACAAAGGGAGGAACGCTGCTCAAGGATGCAGGAGAGAAGCCTCTCTACGTTCAGGTTGTACTTGATGGCCTCTATATTCCCATCCATCTTGGAGAGTCTGTGCTTCTGAATGAGCCTGGATGGACTAGGTCAGTGGTGTCAAACTCAAAAAGAAACAGGCCACTAATCGACGCATACAAATCTCTGCAGGGATTGACTTGTTTTAAATGTTTATTATCTATGTTTTATTGTATTTCTATTTATTTTGCTAAACATTTCCTAATTACATTTTAATCTGGTTCAGGCTACGCTCAGGAGTGTTGGGGGCTACGTGGGGCCTCGCATTTGTACCTCTGGACTAGGGGACAGCACCCCATCACCTAGTTTTCATGGTACAGTGGAAAGAGCACTGAATTCAGAGTCAAAAGACCTGCGTTTGAATTCTTGTTCTACTATTTACTGTCTGTATGACCTTAAGCAAGTCACTTTACTAGGCCACAGTTTCTTCAGCTAAGAAAGTAAGAGGGCTGGATTCAATTCCAAAGGCAGCATTCAGCTCTCTATGTATCATCTTGCAACAGAACCACAATTTAAATGTAGGTGCTCTAATTCAGAATCCTGAGCTCCTTCCTCTGCAATCTTTCTACCTCAGCTCTTCCATTTGTAAAAATGGGAGAAATAATATTTCAGTTCCCTACCTTACAGGGCTGCTGGGGAAAGCACTTTGCAAACCTTAAATGGTTAAACACATATGAGTCCTTCCTTATGAAATGCAGTCTTCACCATGACTTGAAAGATTTTACATTCCCAGTTCCATAGGACAGTTTCTTAGACTGTGAGTCGCTACCCCACGTGGAGTTGTGAAAAATTTGGCAACAATAAAAGGTTTCTGAACACGCAACAACCAAAAATTAATTCAAAATCAAAAGCACAATGAATCTGAGGTGTTTCTGGAAGTTTCTGCCCCTGTTGCATCCTGCAACTTCACTGCAGCCTTGGTTCTGAACACAAAGCATGCACACTTTGCACCACGCATGCCCTCAGGCCATATGACCCCTCATTTTACAGATGAGAAAACTAAAATTCAAAGAGGGTAACTTGCTCAGAATCAACAGCTCATAAGCAGATGAAGGCACATTTGAACCCAAGTCTTCCTGACTCTAGTACAGCACCTAAACTTTCTGCCTCCATGATGGCTATAAAGACCAAAAAGGGAGGAAGACACCACACAAGGAGCTTCATCTCACACACACACACACACACACACACACACACACACACACATACTTTTAAAGTCACCAAACAAGCTCTGAATACCTTACACGCCCTTTTACAATGAGTATCTTTTGTACAGGCCTGTACCAAATGTCAAAAAGGCTCCTACCAATAGGTGCACGGCTGTGGGCCAGAATCCCTAGGCAGGGATCCAAATATATCTGACCCTTTTTCTACTCCTGCAGTGCCACTGTGTGTTGGGATGGTGTCTGTAAATTTCCCAGGCCAGGCAGAACAGAAATGGGGCATGGCCTGCTTTGCTCTGAGTTCATGGGCAGTGGCAGGCAGGGTTGAGCTGCAGACACTGAACCCGAGAGACTCTGCTATGCTGGTCACTAGGGACCAGTCAACTTGGGAGCTGCCATCTACCTCTCCTGGAAAGTTGCTCAGTCTTTTTATTTATTCTCTATACACTTACATGTGGACATGTAAACTGAATGTGACCTTAAGAAAGATTGCCAAGGGAGATTAAATCATTGTATGCATATCCTTAGCACCTAGCACAGTGCCTGGCACATAGTAAGTGCTTAATAAATGAATGCTCATTGCCTGATTTCTGGAACCTAGTTGCCTGCACCTGTTCAATTATTCTCTGCTGTTTCTGGATGGAACAGAAGATAACAGAGTCTGAACAAGAGTGAGGGGCTGAAGGAGCTTGGAGGCTTGTCTCCTCTTTGTGCTTAGAAATAAATGGTCAGAGCAGTGTCCATCAGTGTCCAAAAGAAAGAATCAAGTTGATCTTTAAGAAAAGAACTCAACAAGGATTCTGGAAAACCTAGACCTACTCCAGATTAAGCTGTCTTTGAGCGCCCTCTGGTGACAATTAGATAAACTACATTGGTACCATTCAAGCAATCTGGCTCAATTCCACCTTCAAGTTTCTGGTAAGATTTCCGATCCTTAACTGACAAGGGGTCACTTGCACTCGGCACTGGGGTCTTTCACTTTCATCATGTTTAGTTAACAATTAAATGTATATTATGGGCCAGTCACTATGCTAAGTCCTGAGCATGCAAAGAAAGACAAACAGTCCTTACTCATGTTCCAAGACTATTTACAGTGCTGCATTCTTTGTCAGAAGCAGCACCTTATGCTCTTCTCAAA